ATTATATAAACTTATGAATAATTGTACAATATAAAGTAAAATAAAAATTACTTATATATTGACCTTTATTAGAGGTCAAGTTCGAACTTGATTGAACATCATTATCTTCATAATCTCGCTTATCTCTTTGAATATATACTGGGTCGTCTACTTCTTCTTCTTGTGTTTGATGATTCCTAGACCCTCCGGGTTTAATGCGGCCAGAACTAACACCTCGTGGTGGATCTAAAAGTAATGAAACAATGTAATTTCCTCGGCAACGCTGTCGAGGAATTTCGATTCCTCGGCAACGCCGTCAAGCTTAAGCTAGTGCTTTATAAAGTTCTTACTTTTTTGTGCATTTTTGGTTTTTGTCCAATGTGTAACTTCGTTTGATAACTTATTCGGTGCTTTTGGGATATTCTCACATATACTGTCATCTGACAGTTCATTATCATTGCTGCTCATTGATGAGTTCCTATCTTTTTTGGCTCTATTTTTCCTTGATTTCTTACGACATTCATCTTTCTCGGTATTTGATGTAAGATCAGACTCTTCTTCGGCTCGTTTCAACTTTTGTCTTGCCACGTCATAACTCACTGCAACAAAATAACATAATAAGAATAAAAACATGTACCATTGTCCTATAATTATTAAAATACATCAACAAACATTAATGTTGTATGTGGAAAACAAATAATAATACACATATTTTAGAAACAAATATAATATTACTTACAATATGTCCCATATATTTTTCGGATGGAACATTTTGACCATGTAGATTCCGGCTCCGCCGCACGTTTAACTGCTTTGTTGTGTCTTGCAGTACTAGTGTACATAGGCCAAAAAGCTTCCGTCGAATCTTCAGTTAACCAATTCTTTGGAACTACTGAAAGTCCATCTTCAAATTCGACGACTGCGTACATCTTCAACGTGCCAGCCATTCTGCTTCAATACATGTTAAATTTTGTTATGTATCAATGGAAAAACTGCATATTTGTCATTTTCATGCGGCAATTTCACATATTTTCTAATAACATTTTTTAATGGCCACGATTTCAATTCTGAGCATGAGTGCACACTATAAATTCCAAGTAATGATGATGGACAAGGAATATTGTATAGGTCGTTTTTTTCTAAAAATTCGCGACCTATAATGACTGGAATATTTCGCTTTGAACAGTGTGCTATATTTTCTATACATACAATGGCACCACAATTTAAGCCGCAACAACTATCGGCGAGTGTCCCAGCTTTCAATGTAATTCCTTTATACTTCACAATTTTATATTGTGGATTGTTACAATTGGAAACAAGTGGACCATCATAATGCAAATTGGTTAAATTTGGATGTACCAAAACAGAATGTGATGAAAGAGAAGTTGATAATGATAAATCCGAGTTTATTTCTTGTTCAAAATATCTCCGCACAACTTGTTGTAAAGGTCTCTCTGTTTTCCTAATATATTTTTTCAATGTTTTCATATAATTTTCAAATTTAAATGCAGTGAAGTTGTCAAGCGGTCCAAATCTTTTGACGTCATCAACAAGATGTACAAAACTGTGAATATTATGTGACATATTCTCAATACCATATACTTTCTTAAATGTTTCAATAAAGAAAACTATCAATTCTTGCGCATAATTTATGTATTGATTTAAATCTGGTGAAGAAAGAATGCGAATAATCACATGTAACGTCATAAAGTTGATATATACGTTTTTTTTTAATATAGATTTAAAAGCCAGTGGACCCGTGTATAATAATATCAGTCGATATTCTGTAGCTTTCCATAATTTCACACAATTCAGTGCTCGTGGCTTTCTTGCAAATTCTACAGGTATTGCAGGCTTTAACAGTGTTATTAAACGTGTAGAAATTTCTTCAACAGCTCTATTTTGTAGTCGATAATCCAATTTTCCAGAAAGCCATAAATATATTAATTTGCGTATAATTCCTAAAAACACCAAGTGCATAGGATCTAAGGGAACATTGGTAACAGGCTTAAAATGTGGTATTTTTAACAAACTGCAGGTGATATCTGGCTTGTGATAATTATCGTCAGTCTTTCGAATAAAATCGTCATCTGTTCTAGGTGGTGCATCGATTTGTGGGAAACATATTCGGTTTCCTACATATTCTCCTTCTGTTTGACACTTAGTACAGCTGGAATAACCGGAATGTCCCTTTACACACAGAACGAATGATTTCGCTGGAGTATCACAAATTAAAGCCTCAAGTCTGCAATTTATATTACGACCATTGATGGTAACACCGTTTTCGCACATATCTTTAGCCTCGTCAACAAATTGCTTCAAAAAATCATTGGCATTTGTC